TCGCACACAGCGAGTCCAGAGTAGAAATCAATATGTGTTTGTCTACGCTCGGTGACCAATCTCATTTTCCTCTCATTACCAAATATCAACAAGTAATGACAAATGTTTATGCGTCTAATTCGGAATGGATTTTCTGTTCTATATCAAGAGGATATTATGGTTATTGAAATACGATACATATGTATGCTGACAGGTGAAACTACCCAACAAGAAAGAAAAACAGGTGTTTGATAATTTGAAAATTCTCAAAGAATATGTAAGAGTAATGAGTGTCAAAGTGAACTATCGTTTTAGATAATTTCTTTATCAAACTCTACAGTAATACATCTCAAATTACTACTAACATTTCACATAATTATCATTCAGGTGCAGATTTCAGAAATAGGTTAGTAATGAAATGACTGTCATTGTTTTATTGTTCAAACAAACAAAACATTTTTAACATGATCAATATAGTTGTAAAGGAAATAATTAATGAATTCGTTTATTATAGATTTTCCATTTGCATCATTTCATTTTTGAATTATTTCCATATTGGTAAAATATTTTGATAAAAATATCTGAAGTTATAGATAGAATCTGCAGCCTCTGAAGTGTAAACCTTTCCAGCATGTCACAAATACAACTGATGATGATGATGATGCGTGATGGTCATGCATTATAGTTAAGTAACTAAAGTTTTTATTTCGAAGCGCTTACATCTAACACGGTCCTGAGTGCTTATTACTGGGGATTCTCATGTTAGAATGTAACTATTTTTCTAAAGCCTCTTCGCTTTATACGTTTGTTTAGAAATATAAAATTATTTTGAATAATTAAAGCTGAAAAACATGCATAAATACAGTTGTACTTGAAATGAAAAATTCCAATGTATATTTTTTTTTAAAACCAGATGTTAACAACTGAATAAAAAAATATAAACGTTCAAGCGTTTTGATCCTAATACTACTCAAGAAACAATCACAAACATCATCTTTGTTATTGGATTCAAATTCACTCATTTATTCTCATTCTGTTATGTATTTTAAGTATTCCAGATGCATTATTTAATTTCTTCTGTATCATCCTCTAACCTCTTTAAATCAACTTGGAGTCACTGTGTATTGAAATAGTGTTTTAAATACGAATCAATATCAGCCAGAGATTTTTGAGAGATTAATGAACATTAGAAATATCATCATGTACTTATACTTGAGTATACACACTCAGGATCACTTACAGTATCATTAGATTTTAATAACTAACATATTTTTTTACTTCAGTTCATTTTGGCGATTTAGTAATACAATAACTCATTATGATTTGTGAATGAGTGAGCTACACTCAAATTAGTTGACCTCGTGTTATTGAACCGTACACTGAGTGTTATTCAGTAACTTCACTTAAATTACACTAAATTACTTCACCTATATAGTTGCCACTAGCTAACCTAATAAAGATAGTTGCTGTTACTGACAGTTAAATAGATCGTCAACGTAACAAATGGATTGATTGATTTCAGATTGTATGCAAACATAAGTTGCATTACGAGGTTGTTGTGAAGATTGTTAAGTTTTATTTGAAATCATGAATCGATCAATGTTAGACCACCATTAGAAACCTAGAAGCACTGGACGGCCGTTTCGTCCTGGTATGGGACTCCTCAGAAGTGCGCATCTGCGACTCCTGCATCCCACAGGATTCGAACCCAGGACCTTCGGTATTGTGCGCGAACGCCTAACCATCGGACCACTGAGCCAGTATATAACGGTGTGAATGTTTAACTTCGATCAATTCACGGTCTTGCGCAACCTCATACACAGTCTTCGGTAGTTACTGTCTACACCCGAACAGGTTGAACTTCACTGGTCACGTCTTCCCACTAGAACTCGGAGATCTCTCACGAAGCTAGTCACTAGTGAGCTCAGGTAGTTTGCATTACGGGGTTGTTGTGAAGATTGGTAATTTATATTTGAAACCGTGAATCGATCAATGTTAGACCACCATTAGAAACCTGGAAGCATAAGTATCTTTCACAAAATATTTATACTTAGTACTTCGTATGCTTTGGTTAAACCAACACTTTAGGATTGTTCTTTTTGACAGTGTAAGTTGATGAATATTAACAATGAAGTCAGATATTGCTGTAGTCATGTTTTCAAGAGCAGCATGATGCAATTTGTCGAATTTTAAATAACGACTTTAATTCCAAAAGTGACTTACTCAGCTGTATATACGACAACTAGTCGTTAATCAGATATATCTGGCTAAGTATGCTTTACTAACTAGGTGCTGTCATTAATATCTCATCCGAATAAACATATTACCTAAGATGATTGGTCGTAAATAATAAAGCCTAAAAAACTAACAGATGAACTATTGGCTGCTAAGACTTACCTAAAGAGATCAAGGCTCTTTTCGAAACTGAAGTCTGCATTTACTTACTTACTTACTTACGCCTGTTACCCCCAATGGAGCATAAGCCTCTGGCAGTTGTTTTCCAACCTACTCTGTCCTGGGCTTCCCTTTCTAGTTCTGTCCAATCTTTGTTCATTCCTCTAATATCTTTCTCTATTTCTGGGCGTAATGTATTCCTTGGCCTTCCTTTTTTCCTTTTGACTTGGGGGTTCCATGTAAGGGCTTGTCTCGTGACGCAGTTAGGTGCTTCTTTCCAATCTGATGGTACTTGTTCCTCATCCCAAATCTTCCTGAAGAGTATGTGGAATATTTTCGCAGTTGCTTCTACATCTGCTTTCATTGCCTCTGCTTGAATGTTGTCTGGTCCTGACGCTTTACCGCTCTTCATTTGTCTGATATCATGCTGATCTGTTCAATTGTAGGTGACCCATCATCGATTGGGAGGTTCGGAGATGCTGCTTTGATGTTGGGTGTGTTCAATGGAGTTGGTCGATTCAAGAGTTCCTTAAAGTGTTCTACCCACCTATTTCGCTGTCCTTCAGTGTTGCTGATTACTTTGCCTTCCTTGCTTTTCACTGGTCGTTCTGGTTTACGATAGTTCCCGGCGAGCTTCTTTGTTGTTTCGTACAATTGTCTCAAGTTTCCTTCTCTTGCAGCCTTTTCCGCCGTCATTGCTAGATCTTCCACATATTTTCGTTTGTCAGCTCTGATGCTCTTCTTCACTTCCCTGTTTGCTTCTGTGTATGCAGCTTGTGCGGTAAATTTCTCCGCTCTTGTTCGGCTGAGATTGATTGCTGCCTTCTTGTTCCTCCTTTCTTCAATTTTTGCAAGAGTATCAACAGAGATCCATTCCTTGTGATGGTACTTCTTGTGATCCAGAACTTCGTGACATGTTGAAGTGATTGCCTCCTTAATCACTTTCCAATTGTTCTCCAATGTTGCGTCCTCTCCATCGAGTAGATCCTGAAAGGCCTGGAACCTATTGGTGAGGGCTATCTTGAATTCGTTGAGCTTTACATTATCCCGAAGAAAGGCTGTATTAAACTTCTGTGACGTTGTCTGTCCCGTTGTCCAGTGCTTCTTTAGTTTCAGTTTCATTTTGGCGATCAGCAAATGGTGATCTGAGGCTATATCAGCTCCCCTCCTGTTTCTCACATCCTCCATAGTCCTTCTGAACGTTTTGTTGATACAGATATGGTCGATTTGGTTCTGAGTAGTGTGGTCCGGTGAAATCCATGTGGCTTTGAGTATGCGCTTGTGCGGGAATATTGTGCCACCGATGACCAGTTTGTTGAAGGCACATAAGTTTGCAAATCTCCCACCGTTTTCGTTCTTTTCCCCCAGTCCATGTCGTCCCATGATGTCTTCATACCCAGTGTTGTCCGTGCCAACTTTTGCATTTAGGTCTCCCATCAGAATGGTGAGCATCTGTCGACGATCGACTGTAGCCTTTTGTAGCCTTTAGTCTCAGTTGTCCTACCTGTGTCCAATGCGTTTCACTGATGCCGAGCACCTCTAGGTTGTATCTTTTCATTTCTGCCGCAACTTGAAATAGTTTTCCAGTCTCACACAATGTACGAACGTTCCATGTACCTAAAAAAATGGTTGCTCTGGTTGTCAGAAAAGGCATCGGCTCCGTGACTTCCGAGGGAACTCGGCTTTCATCACGCGACGTCATAATTCTTCTTCGAACTCACAGGGCAGAGTTAAAATGGTTTGAATTATTTTTCTGGTTGGCGTTTTTTTGGCAAGTTAGTTTTTGACGGAATAAGGTCACCAACCCCATGTCCAACCCTCCTCCTTTATCCGGGCTTGGGACCGGCAGTAGCCCCTAAGGTTCTATTGGCGGAGGTAAGTCTGAATTTACTGACGCATAAGTACACGGTTCAGAACACAACCACCTAAACTGATAATCGTTTAAAACATTTTTCAACTATCATTATTTACTGACGGTTCAACTTAATGACAGTCACGAGTAATATTAACACTGGGATATTATCCCAGCATGCTAAGTGTATCGCAGTCTGACATGATATCATAGTCACAGTAAAAATCAGAGTTTAATCTAGTTTTTTGAATTGAAAATTACGTTATAACATGCTAATTATATTGACTAAATGAGCACACATATAACCGTTACTTGGAAATACGTCACACTTGGTTGACACGACAACAGTGAATATATATCCATTCCATACAGGAGTGATTAAATTTTGAATAAACTCATGCAAATGTTTCTTAATTTCATCTTTGCACGTATAAAACAGCAATAAGTTTTCATTGAATCCAAACGAATAATTTATTTGATTTTATAATTTTCTTTTAAAGCTTATTTGAGTGTGATTGGCTATTTTATGAGATGATGACAGTTAGGAAAGAACCAATTACAAAGTTGGATAAAATTTCCATATTATCTTTAGAAATATACGTGATTAAAAATAGAAGAAAACTAGACGGGAAATTGTATCTGTTTGCTTTGAATCACAAGTTAACTGTATTTTCAAAAATCCATTTTATTTACAGAATTATACTATGAATTATCATCATCATCATTATATAAAAATTTATTTTATAAATTATTTTATGAAAAATATACGGTTATTATGAGTTTACTAATTTCAGTATTGGGATATAAAATTTATTTTTTGCATCTTCTATATAACAAGAATATCATATTATTATTTGTTATAATACTCCTATCGCTATGTAGTCATGTAAATACAAATAAACTTGTAAATACTACAGATAATACATACAGAGAAAAGAATTTTCTAAATTCAACATTATTAAATGACAGTAATCAGTTAATGAATAAAAAATCGAATAATGATTGTTCAATTTCATTAACTGAATTTATTATCTATTTTTATATACAACCAATAATATGTTTCATTGGATTTATATTGAATATATTGAATATGATTATATTCTGTAGACCACAATTTTCTGGAGCTGCTTATGCTTATATGATTGCTATGTCGTTAGCTGATGCAATTACATTGATTAGTTATATGCCATCTGGTTTAGTTAGGTAGGTGGTGTTTGTACAATATATATATTTATCGGAATTACTCATTATATATCATAAAATGTATTGACAATCTATGCTTTGAATTGATAATAATAATAATAACTCACGTAGCTTGTTGTATTTTCACGAAACCTATTACAACCAGAGTTTATTATGAACGAACAGGTTATTTTAAAGTGATTTGACCTGGACGATATAATTAGAGTTTCTGACATTACATCAATTATAATATGATAAATTTCTAGTATGGTTCGAGTTTATTTACAGTTTTACCGGAAGCCTGTTCAAATACTTAGATCTCGACTCCACAAGAAAATTTGTTGAGCACTTATTAAAACTGAACAATGCTGATTAAGTAATTGGATTTTTAACTCTTTGAGGCTAGTGTGGAGCCTACCCTACGACCTGAAGGTCCTACTGTTTATCATGTGTACAATCTTAAAGTTTTAATTAAGGACATGTTATCACCCTAGTGATCATTGATTATTGATTATTCTCACAGCTGAGTACGATCCGATAATAAAACTTGTTTTGATGGATGCAATCCGAGTATAAGACATTAAAGCGTTATCACGTTAGGTATTATAGTAGTTAACTGTTATAATTTGTCTAACTTCAACTGAGGATTTCATAAAAATAAGAATACAAATTTTGTTTATTGACACCTATGGAATAAGTGTAACTTAACGTACGAAAATTTAACGCATTACATTTGTAAGATGACTTCACTTAAAGACCTGCATGTATGCAAACATTTTTGTTAATTTTATGATGGTAATTGTTCATTATTCGGTATGGCTACTGGAAATAATCTTTTTCCAAAATTTGCTCACGTTCTTAATAAGGGTATTCATTAATTATACTGTCATTATTTAAAATAAATACCATTAATAACAATACGTACTCTTTTCAAGTTTATACATATCAGTATAAAAGATTGAATGTAGTTAACTTTTCTTTGTAGCCGTTTCTGATTCCATTTACTTTTGATACCATGAAGTCCAATCCAATGATTTTTTCAATCGTGAATAACAAGGAAAGTACATTAACTACTGTGGTAGTTTTGGTCTTAGCTTCAAATTATTTATTATCTGTATTGTTTTTTGAATTTTCGTATTGAAAAGCATATGCTGATATGATGTTATTAGCATAATAATAAAAAAATAAACAGCCGATATATATCTAGAAATAAGAAATACACTGTTTATACTAATCAAAATAAAATTATTCAAATATTTGAATTGTAAACAAAAATCAATATCTTTAATTGTCGTTATTAATCTATGATTATTTAGCTTAAAGACTGAATATATATAATATCTTGTCGCGTTATCATGAATTCGCTGACAGTTCTAGATTTCTCATTATACATTTTCTTTTTTAGCGGTATCAATCACACCGGTCTGAAACTATATTTCTATCAAGTACATGTATTTAAAACTAAGGAATTTGTCTTTTTATAAATGAAAGTTATTTATAAAAAGATTGTACAAGACTGTGGATTGATTGAAGTTAGACATTAACACCACTGAATACAGGCTCAATGGTCTAGAGATTAAAAAATTCGCAGGCGAGATTGATGGTCCCGGAGTCCTTTGCCGAATGCGCGGATCGTGAATTAACACTGATGATGAGTACTATGCTAGGATGAAACGGCCGTTCAATGCTTCTAGGTTTCTAAATGTGGTCTAACATTGATTAATTCATGAGTTAAAAAAAGTACATTCATAGCATTAGAACTTCAAAAGCAACATAATCATAATAAAAATAAATGTTATTTGTTATTGAATTAATAATCAAAATCATTCTTTTCATCGCCAAAACAATCCATGACATACACGTTCAATTTGATAATCTTATCTAAACATAATTAATCACGTGTAAACAAATTTGTTATTCTTTCTGAGATAACTGTTAATACAATAAGCGTTTCTCATGCTTATTGCAACTGTAAACTAAACTATTTGGTTTATTATTGCTGTTAACTTTTTTTCTCAAAACTAATAAAAGAAATCAAAGTAGGAAAATTTATGTTTATAAACCAGTCAGTTAAGCATAACAAATAAACAAATAAAGAAATTGACTGATTATAACTAATCTAAACTTCATTTTGATTTTTAACATTATTCATGGCAGCATATTCAATTAAATTGAATGATAAAAGATTATTGAAAATGATTGATAGAAACACCATAAATTATGCTGTAAATTTCTTTTTTTTTTTCGCTCAAAGTAATTCATTTGAAATAAACAAATGAATGAATGAATGAAGTGGTTTTGTTTTTTCTATTTGAAAAAACCGATTTAAAGAATATCAACACCAAATGAAAATGGTATGCCATCGTATTTAGTTGAAAAAATTATTTAAGAAATGACTTAGTTGTTTAATAAAATTATCAAGATAAAAAAATATGTGGTACATGGTAGAAATATCATAAACATTCCTTGTTGTTATTATTATTATGATTATTATTATTATTTATATTATACTTAGTCAAATGGTAACAGGTAATCATTGAAAGTGAAAAATTATATTCATCTAATCTCGTCGAAAATAACAGTTTCTTTTATAATGCTTTATGTAGAATAGAGAGATTGTGAATAGGAGTAAAAACTCAAGACAAGAACTACACGTTGATATTTAATGTAAAAAAACATTGGGTTCAAGTCGCAGTATGAACACTGGAACATTGGAAAATCTAGATGACAAGCCGGATTCCAATGTTTGCTATAATCCATCTCATTATCTTTTAGAACCTGTTTAAAAAGAATGGCTAAATCGAAGCTATCATTGAAGAATGCAGATATGCCCAATAGTTACCTATCAGAATTTAGTCTTGAATATAAATGACAAGATAAATTTTAACCCTTATTAACACGTTTTTGATGATTTCTCATTTCACCAAGTCTGTTATTTATCCAAGAGGCCATAATATTTGTCTTGGAAAATTAATTTTGTTAGGAATATTTTTCATAAGTTGTCATTTTCACTACTTACTCCTCTTAGAATGTAACACTTAATTCTTGAAAGTTTCATCGATATGTAACGTTGAAAAGTTTCATAATGGGACGATATAGATATCTCTAGTTGCGTAGTTTTTAATAAACTTCGTGTTAAAGTTAAGTCATGATGCAATGTTTGTGTGAGATTAAAGAAATTTGCGTTCGCGTATTGACTGAATGAACAAACATGATAATGAAATATAAATTTCTATTTTTATCTAACATAGAAAAAGCTGAAGGGTAAACTGTATTTATTTATTGAGTATGACGATCAATATTATTTCATGTTTTTTTTTATAAATGACAATGTTGACACAGACTATTAAGAGTGTTGTTAGCGAAACTAAACAAATATTGAATTTGAATAAAATTATAACAGATTTTTAGTAACTTGACAATAATTTTAGTCAGAATTGTTTACTTGTTCAACAAACAACAATAATTCTTAACTGGTTTGATAAGCAATGAATTCTTTATAGTTGTAAAACTTAGAGTGAAACGTCAGCTAGTTTTTCATGTTTAATTACAAATATCCAGTATTAATTTTTTTGTTACAATCTAACCCCCTTTAACCCAGTTTTGCATATATATGAATCACGTGCTAAGCTTTAAGCATTTTTATAAAACTGGTATAGACTCAGTTGTGTTTATGATTTCTGATGATTTTATTGTTTTGAGTTGTTTATAAGTACTTCTAATAAAAAAAGTTATGTTATTCTTAGGTATGGTTTGACAGACTACTTAAACTATTTTGTAACAACAAGAAAAACTGATCATATTACACTTTTGTAAAGTTAGACAGACTATACAGTTTAGTAACTTCTGTTTCGCAGTCGCTTGGGTTATCAGTCAATCATTTATGTCATCTAAAAGGATGTAACTCATTTTTTGACGTTTACAATATTTAGAATATGTCTAGAGGTGATCGAAATAAAATATAGTTTTTCAAGATGGAAGGCGGTTTGTTGGATCAGCATTTGTCAGAATAACTGAACTTCATGAGTATGAATCTTGGTAATCTACACCTTTGTACATCAGGGCACTACTAGACGTGACTGGAAGTAAAAGCCGATGGTGAATAAGCTTTAATTTTCTTTTGAATGTACATAAACACTAAAATCTATCTTTCAAATGTATAGGGCTTGTCTTCACGGTGTTATAGTTTGGTTTATGTCCTTCCATATTATTCATTCTTACTATGATCATCTAATTGTCTCATAGATTTTATTTATTAACACAAAAATTATTATCACTCATTATGCAACGTAATTCATGATACTAAGCTGTATAGTAGTGGACAAAGTGAATGCATAATAATTCTGTAATTAACATCTGAATTCAATGTTTTCATTATTTTGAAATAAGGAACAGATTTGTATGAGTATTTATTTCAAACGTCATCGGTCATTTTCGGCAAAATAAACTTGAAAGACAGACATCATTCTGTTATGACATAACCATATGTTTTTGATTTCTCACAAAAAATTTTATTTTGTCAACAAATTTCATCACAACCTTATAAAATGATCTGTTATAATAATATGTGATGTGATTTATCTCTGGTTATATCCGAGGTAAATAGTTCATATGTTATATCCGTTGTTAGATAAAGCTTGATTAAAAGTATAGTGGATTTGTTGCAATTTTATAATTTTCCATAGTTTAAATCATGGAATGATTTTATCTGGACCACCATTAAAATCTTGGAAGCACTGGACGGTCATTTTGATTTATGGATGCAGGATTATGTATACCCACTGTAGACAAGTCCCATATCACGCCAAAACGCTTGTTGAGTACTTCCATGTTCTAACTGATGATTTAAGTAAGATCACTTCTTGGACTAGATCATAGGAAAAAACAAAACTAGTTGCCTGTTGAGTTAAATAAAAACCTGAGAATTTGAGCATTAAATCCATTAAAATATGTTATATGTAAGAGAGAAAAGTTTATGTAGTTATCTAAAAATGATGTGTGTTAATATCTATGAGTCTAAAAAAG